TTCATTAATAAAAATTCTAGGAATATTGAAATTTTTTTTTGAATTAGCTTAATCATATTTCATCTAATACAAATTATTACTTGTATTTAGAAAAAGTTCTCTAACCAAACAAGTAAGATAATTCTTGTACTAAGAATTTTAGATTCTCTGGGGGTAACAGTTATCTTTAGCTTAATTGTTTTGAAAAATTTCATATATTTTATTAGATTATTTTATTTGAAAATAATTTATAAATTATTACTTTCCTCTTCATCTGTTCCATATTAAAAAGTTTAAATAAATTACTGTATAAAATTACTTATATAAAACATAATTTCATTAAATAGATAAAAATAATCTTTATGTAATAAAAAGCATCAAATATATTTCATATATATAAGTATATACATCAAGATAATTTATGATAGTGTAAAAATTTAAATAAATATTAGTTTCGAAATTTATTCAGAAATAATTTTTATTAACTATGTAATTTTTTTATTTTATCTATTGTTATTCTAAACAAAGAACGGGCGATGATAATCTCTTTCAGATAATTATTAAATCATCAAATATAATTGGTTTATTCATAGATAGTACTAGAGTGGTGATGAGCAGAATTTTCAACAAACTTTCTTACTGTTCGAGTGTTTTCGAGTATTACAAACATCTTTAATGATAACTTTTCAATTCTTAATTCAAATTAATTATTAAAAACAACAACTAAATCACAATTTTAGTGAAATTCGAACAGAGAACTGTTCAGAAAGCTAAGAAAATTTTCGAGTCAACTTTTTGTACAAATTTAAAAACTTTAAACGTTTTATTAATATAGGCAAATTTTTCTCAATATTTTCATGTGAACGTGAAACTTAAAGGAAATAACTTTCCAAGTAGAATTATCACATGGTTCCAAACTGGAACCGAATTTGAATCCTTGAAGAAGTTGCTTACTTGGTTGGGCGTTACCTGCGTTGTCGTGAGTGGACTTGTTGATGAAGGTAGATGAATCCCTTATCGTATAGCCATCCGTCCGACGATATTTTATGATTAAAATATATTTTATAATTATTACAAACGGGAACAGATATCATATCAAGTTCAAATAATTTCAAAATTTAGAATATGTAAAGTAACAACGATGTTATTTCACACGACCGCTTCTATACACTTATCATGTTATTAAATAACTGAAAAGAGATTACATTATCACACACAAATATTAGAATAATTTATAATTCGGAAATGTTCATAACAATATAAGTATTTTAATTTTTATAAATAACTTTATTGCTTTAAATATTTGTTAGTAATAATATATTTGCATTAATATTACTATCAAGCAAAAATACTTAATAAACAATGCAAATTGAAACTTAGAGTATCTATACAAATGAATAATATAATATTCCCAAAAATATTAATTATTATTTAGTATTGGTTTACTTATCATACCATACTTTATACAGTATTCCAAAATTTCATTACTTGTTTAAAAATATAACTCCCCAACATTAATTTTTAGAGACGTATTATGGTATAATTTGTATATATAATTTAAAATAATTCTTAAAATTGTGAATTAGCCCATTATAAAAAAAATCCAGCAACGAGTTGCTTAACTTTTCCGGCAACTTTTGTAGCGCCATCTGTTATCATATTTTATTTAAAAACTTTTTATATTTTTAATTATTATAAAATAGCAAAAAGCTTAATTTTGAGAGAATAAATGGGTTTTATAAAAAAAATTGTAAATGCTAATAGAGAGGTTGAGGCGCACGTTTTAAACGTGTAAACGTGTACGTGTGACGTTCGGCGCCGCTTTCCCGTAAGCCTAAAAGTTTGACGATGGTGTTTGGAATGTCGAGCGTGATTCCACCGACTATCCAAACACCATTGTCAAACTTTTAGGCTTACGGGAAAGCGGCGCCGAACGTCACACGTACACGTTTACACGTTTAAAACGTGCGCCTCAACCTCTCTAATAACGAGTAAAATCGTCATTAAGTCCAACCCTACTGGAGATACACACGACCCCATTAACTTCTCACCCCCTCGACCTTTAACCACCAATATTTAATAGCATCAATCCCCCTAATACATAAACCTCCCTGCAAAATTTCAGAAATTTTCGACAAAAATTACAGGAGTTAAGCTTCAAACAGGGTGAACAAAATCGAACCACACACATACGCTCTCCAATATCCATTCATACATACATACATGGAAAAAAACACGAATATTTTTGTATTTCTCGGCGATTCAATGTGTTTCAAATCCAAAAATGTAAAAATCTTGGGGGGTCATTTTTTGACCGATTGTCATACTTTTCCTCTTATATATAACAGCAAGGAAAGCAAAAATTAAAAAATTATTTTTCCGGTTATTGATTAATAGAGCAAGGATAGCTAGGCACTAAAAATCAGTCATTTACTGTATATGATTTTTAGTGCTTAGATGTCCTAGCTCTATTCATTACTCAAGTTCATTTTTCAGAAAATTTTTAAGATATTCAGTTACTACAGTATTAATTTTTCATAGGAAGTTCGGCCAGATCATCATTAACCATTGATATCGACTCACAAAAAAGCTGGCAAGACTCCGGGACTCAATCCTGTCGCCAAGAGTTACTGATCAAATGTTTAAATTTCTTACAATGAAAATCAATAGAAAATAATCTGATTTTCCTTCTTGTAGATTTACTAGAAATTCACTGTTTTAAAATTGTATTTTCAATTATCATCAACTTTGTAAAAATAATATTTCCGATCAATTAAACTGTTAGAAAAAAACTTAAATAACAAGAGTTATTATTAAAAACAAATTTAAAAATCTTTAAGAAACAACAAAGTTACAGAACTTTTAATTGAAAAAAACTATATTGCACTAGAAACTAATTGAACGAGTTTAGGAAATAAAACTATTCTACATGAAAATACAAAAATTAAAGTTTAAATGCGGTTTAAATACAATATCTAGGACAAATTTCATCAATATATAAATTCGCCTCTTAAAAAAAAAATTGTAACACTGGTTGTATAGTTTCAAACCACCTTGAAGTGTTAAAATTGCAAGTAACATTGGCAGTTATCGGCTACGAAATTTGTTCTTTACAATATTCACTGTACCGAACAAACGTTCAATTTCTTCTACGTTTGACACTTTTTTATACGTAATTGCTTATAGTAAACGCGAATTGCTTATAGTAATAAGAAAGTTGTGAAGACATCTGGCATATAGATTGATGTTTTTAATTACATGAACATTTTGAAGCATTCTAATACAGTAATTGTATAGTTAATTTATACCCAGCCAGATGCTTCTTAACTTTAACAACACCTCACTGAAAATTATTTATTAACTGTAACGAACTGAAAAGTTTTCAACCTGTTCTACAGGCCCTCTTCATGTTTTTAAAAATCGTGATTTTTCAAAACCTAAAGATGGGCTATGGAAGTTAAGTAACTGTATAAAAATACATTTTAAAATTGAAAATTCCTCAATTTCAATTGGTGGTTCTCTCTAATATAGTATATTCTTAAGTGCTTTTTCGATTCTTCTGAAAACTTTCGATAATTATCAGTACAAAATTCATAAATAGGTAAATATTTTACATTCAACAGTCATCTGAATATATCTGGCATCTGTATCTGTAGGTATGAGTACAAATGCCAGATAAATTCAAAATATCTTTAGATATAACTCCCCAATTTAAAATACATTCAATATAGCTACAGATATAACTTTTTGAAAAGTCATAATTCCAATTTATAAACTTATAAAAGTTTATAATGTAATTAATTCAGACGATGTTGAAATACTTTCCTGATAAATCACGACATTTCGCAACAGAACAATAGCATGTATTACATAAAGTTTTTACTAGCAATATTAACTACGGTAATGTGTGCGTGTGTCTTTAGATCTATAAATGTGATGGTATTACTGTATGATACATCGTAATAAATAATATTCTTTAAAAATCAAAAATATATAAGTTACAGTAAGCATCAAAATCCTCCTAAAGAACGCAAGAGACTATTTTAAAGAACTGGAAAATGTTGAAAAGCACATTTAATACGAAAAACTTCATATTTATTTGCTTACTAATGTTTATGTATATAATTATAATATAATTATCTGAACAACGTAATTATTTTAGTAATAATAATACAGTAGAGCGTCGTTTATCCGAAAGCATTCCAGTCGGCAAATTTAAATTTTCGCTAGTGCTGTGGCGCTGCAATCTTCGGATATTTCTCGGGCTACTCAAATATTTTACGTTTTTGATACTAAATTAACATNAAGTTGTATGTATAATTTGTAATTTTTTTATTTATATTTTATTATTGGCTATCAGCTGTTTATGATTTTAAATTTAATTACATAATTTTGAATTGAAACACTCCTGCATTAAAACTATAATTATAGTGAATATTCTAATGCAGTGGTCTATCTGAAGAAGACCTAGCAAGAGGGCTGAAAACAAATTGTATGTTCAAGTAAAGTGTTGCTGGGACAATAAAAGGTATTGCAGTTAAAACTAAATTTCCATTTTGTAATAATGAGTATTTGTTATTATTTGTTAGACTAACTAAATTTATAAACTATGTTTTAAGAGCTTGCATTGCTGATGAACAAGCACTAACATTTTCAATATTAATCTAACACTTTTATTAATCTTTTATTATTTATGAAAAGATAACTCAATTATCTATTGGGCAAGTTCATAGTGCAATTTCTTATTTAATACTCAAGCAATATAACCTAATCATCATCTTTAATGCCCTATCTTCATTACACTTTTGTTTATACTTAATCTAAAATTTAAATTTAAAATTTGTTTTAAAAAGAATTAAGTAGATTTAAAAAAGATCTAACCTATAATTAAATCCATGGGAAAAAATGTTAATAGATTAGAATGCATACAGCAAGAATATTTAAAGCTATTTTAAACATATCAGATTAGAAACAAATGAGAATTAAAAATTTTGTGAATTTTGAAAGCTATAAAAATATACCTCATCTGAATTTGTAATACTTTTTTGTACTTCTTCGTATTCAGCCTGGCCCTCATAAGGTGACATATAAATCAAACACAAGTTTTAATATTTATGGCAGTTTGGAGTAATGATAAGTAATGCACAGTAAATGTTAGAAGGATTGTTCCATTGGCTTACTTCTATGATCTCAAAACAATACCAAACAAGTAATAGAGTATTAAATTTATTACAACAATAATGTTAATTTATAATTTTAATGTTTTTGGTTTATTCACTGATTATCATCAGGATCATTTCAATTTGAAAACTAAGACAGAGATTCAAACTACAAGAACCAAATATGATTCCAAACTAAAATAAGATATGAATGGTTTTTTGAATCTTATTTTTAAAAATACTACTACTCAATAGCAAGTCTTACTGTATAAATAAATAAATCTCCCTGCCAAGTGTCGGCACTTGGCAGGTAGACTCAGGTATCCAGGAGTACGGCGTAGGTATTTTTCTAGTAAACTAGTTAGTTTTGAAAGATTTTTCAGGCTTAAAAATTGACTTTTATGTTTGCATATATGATATATATAACAAATCTAGTATCAATTTTAATTAATATAATCTGTTGATTATGTGATTAGAAGGAAAAAATTATATATACAACAAAAATTCATAATTTTAATTTAAAGTCCCATTTAAAATATGTAAAGTTAAAACTAGGAAATATGTCAATAATTCCAACTTTAACACCTTTTATTGTCCCAGCAATATTTCACCTAGTCATACAAATGCTCTGAGCTTGCTATATACAGGATTAAGAAGAACAAGCCAATTACTACATTAGCCATGTTTGCTATAGAGTCAGGTGTTTAAGCTCAGAAAATGCTGAAATGTTATATGACTATTTTTAAAGATTGTATGTAAGAATACTAGGGATTTTAGAGATTTTTAAAGAGGCAAGCAGAGGGTTGCATCAATCATAAGGACACAGACATACTATCTTTTGGTTCGGAAGTCATACAATCCTGTTAAGGGGGAGAGATAAGAGGAACAGGAATAGCAATACAGTAGACCCCCCTATAACACGGGTTCCTATAATTACGATTCCTATAAGACAATGAAAAAATTGCGACGGTATCCGTACAAACCTGGTAAAAAAACTCCTATAATTCGGTAAAACGTCATCAGGCAGCCAAACTACTTTCTGCCGTCCAATGCCACACTACGGAGAATTTAGGCCGGTAAATTGAGTTTACTATCGTCTGTACAGTATTATATANTATATTTAATAAAAATGAGATTAAATTTGAAAATAATTACAAAATAAAAGTTTAGTATTTATTTGCAATTGTGTGTATTATCTATTCAGAAAAGTTGATTCAATTCTAGTTAATTTCAAGACAAATCTAATGTAGTATATTCAAATATGAATAAAAACTGCTTTATAATTCCAATAATTAATAGGCAAATTATATTGCAATATTCTGTATACAAAAACACATTGTTTTTTTGCCATTCTAAGTTTACAAAATCTTTCAGAAATTACTTATCATTTAAGAACTGTAAATTTAGACTAAAATAATAAAAATAAGCTAAATTTAATAATTATGTTATTACCAATTTTAACTTTGATATCTGCTTAGTCAAATTACTTTTTCTCCAATTAGAAACTATTTTCTTAATCTTATATTTGTGCTAAATATAAATTTTAGCACAAATAGATTACATGATATTGATTAACAAATAAATATTTATTAAAAAAATAATAAAATCACATTTAACAAAATTATATATATTCAATAACATAAAATATGTGGTAAAGCCAATTCAATGATTTTGATTTCTTGAATTAAAGACTAAAATCAAATTGCATTGAGCAATATCTATAAATTACCTCATTTTTTTTTTAATAGTTCAAAAATTCAAAATGAAATTTCATATTATATAAAAATTCATTTTCTTATATGTAATTTAATTTGTTATAATGTTAGTCTAGTAGTAGTGAAATGTTTCCATTTAAAAATATAAATTATAGATATAATTCTATGGGATTTTAGTTATTACATGGAGTTATTACATACATATTAGTTATTTCATGGAGAACAACTTATACATGCTTTATTTGTCATTTATCATACAGTACTTAATTATATTGATAATTAGTTATTGTACACTTATATTAATTTATGTAAATAATAAGACTTGTTCATATTATTTTCATTATTGTTATTAATGTGAATAAAATATGGATTTAATAAAAAAACCTAAGTTAAAAGACAATTTTTTATTTTGACATTAAAAATTGCAACCCAGCATTGTGACAATCATATATTATATATTTTAAATTAAATAAAAACTTAAGAAATTTTTTATTTAATTTAAGATATGTTCTCCAAATTAGTAGTGTCTTGCCCCTGTACATTATGCTTTTCCTGATAACAGAGTTGTTCCTGTCATCTATGTAACTCCATTCAGGGAAAATTTTTTAATTGAAATCACATGACTATCAGTCTAGTCCAGAAGTTTGTATATAATTAATCAGTGTCTCTTGTCCCCTAAGCTTTCTGTATCTGTTCTTGACTTTCATCTATCTAACACTGTTCTTGAGATTAAGGAAGGACAGACAGACAGACAACAGTGGGAATTTATAGGTCTACAATTTTTTCAAATTGCAGCCCAATTAAATCTAAATCTAAAACAAGACTGGATGTTGCAGCCTTACATGTTGGAGTCAGTTTACTTTTCTTGCACAACTAGCAGACAAATCTTCTAAGTATTTGAATTCTATGAATTGACAACATGCTAATTATTGAATGATATTTCAAAAATCAAATAATTTAAGCATACATTCAAATAAAGATGAAAGAATGAAACAATGTGTTCATTAGACATTTACATCTGAATTGTAATAGAAAACCACATCGATGATTAAATGATTAACAAGACAGAAAAAATGAATTAATTAATGATGCCAATGTACAAGTACTTGATGAAAAACAAAACTGTCTGTACTGATTGCAATATTTTAACATTCAGTTGTTAATAATTTTGATATATAAATTAATAATCTTATATTCATACTATTTAAAAAATATATATCAATTGTCTGGATATAGCCTAATGTCTAGTATTATATTGCATAAAATAAACCTCAATAATGAAATTATCTTTGTTTTTAATAGAAAAAAGTTTGAAGACACAAATTAATAAATATGTAATTTTAATTTGTAATACTTGATAAATCTACTATAGCAGATACCGTATTTCAAAATGGTAAGAATACACAGAATTGAACATGTGTCACAAAAAAAAACTTTGTAATTTAAATATAAATCATAATTATCATCCTTTCATTGGTCAGCAGATTCCAAACAATGAAATAAGCAACTATTGAACTATACTGCATTATTTTTGTTAGAATTATTATTTTTCCAGTGCAAATGGAATAGAGAGTAGATGTATATTCATTCATACATGGGTATTAAATATTCAATAATATAACTATCTCTAAATTGCTAAAATCTTAATTGCTCTTTTTATGGTTAGAAATTACATACACAAAATAAATCTATTTTTCCTCTGTTCTCACTTAACAATATTCATTTCATAATATACCTTAGTAAAATTTCATTAATAAAAATTCTAGGAATATTGAAATTTTTTTTTGAATTAGCTTAATCATATTTCATCTAATACAAATTATTACTTGTATTTAGAAAAAGTTCTCTAACCAAACAAGTAAGATAATTCTTGTACTAAGAATTTTAGATTCTCTGGGGGTAACAGTTATCTTTAGCTTAATTGTTTTGAAAAATTTCATATATTTTATTAGATTATTTTATTTGAAAATAATTTATAAATTATTACTTTCCTCTTCATCTGTTCCATATTAAAAAGTTTAAATAAATTACTGTATAAAATTACTTATATAAAACATAATTTCATTAAATAGATAAAAATAATCTTTATGTAATAAAAAGCATCAAATATATTTCATATATATAAGTATATACATCAAGATAATTTATGATAGTGTAAAAATTTAAATAAATATTAGTTTCGAAATTTATTCAGAAATAATTTTTATTAACTATGTAATTTTTTTATTTTATCTATTGTTATTCTAAACAAAGAACGGGCGATGATAATCTCTTTCAGATAATTATTAAATCATCAAATATAATTGGTTTATTCATAGATAGTACTAGAGTGGTGATGAGCAGAATTTTCAACAAACTTTCTTACTGTTCGAGTGTTTTCGAGTATTACAAACATCTTTAATGATAACTTTTCAATTCTTAATTCAAATTAATTATTAAAAACAACAACTAAATCACAATTTTAGTGAAATTCGAACAGAGAACTGTTCAGAAAGCTAAGAAAATTTTCGAGTCAACTTTTTGTACAAATTTAAAAACTTTAAACGTTTTATTAATATAGGCAAATTTTTCTCAATATTTTCATGTGGACGAGAAACTTAAAGGAAATAACTTTCCAAGTAGAATTATCACATGGTTCCAAACTGGAACCGAATTTGAATCCTTGAAGAAGTTGCTTACTTGGTTGGGCGTTACCTGCGTTGTCGTGAGTGGACTTGTTGATGAAGGTAGATGAATCCCTTATCGTATAGCCATCCGTCCGACGATATTTTATGATTAAAATATATTTTATAATTATTACAAACGGGAACAGATATCATATCAAGTTCAAATAATTTCAAAATTTAGAATATGTAAAGTAACAACGATGTTATTTCACACGACCGCTTCTATACACTTATCATGTTATTAAATAACTGAAAAGAGATTACATTATCACACACAAATATTAGAATAATTTATAATTCGGAAATGTTCATAACAATATAAGTATTTTAATTTTTATAAATAACTTTATTGCTTTAAATATTTGTTAGTAATAATATATTTGCATTAATATTACTATCAAGCAAAAATACTTAATAAACAATGCAAATTGAAACTTAGAGTATCTATACAAATGAATAATATAATATTCCCAAAAATATTAATTATTATTTAGTATTGGTTTACTTATCATACCATACTTTATACAGTATTCCAAAATTTCATTACTTGTTTAAAAATATAACTCCCCAACATTAATTTTTAGAGACGTATTATGGTATAATTTGTATATATAATTTAAAATAATTCTTAAAATTGTGAATTAGCCCATTATAAAAAAAATCCAGCAACGAGTTGCTTAACTTTTCCGGCAACTTTTGTAGCGCCATCTGTTATCATATTTTATTTAAAAACTTTTTATATTTTTAATTATTATAAAATAGCAAAAAGCTTAATTTTGAGAGAATAAATGGGTTTTATAAAAAAAATTGTAAATGCTAATAGAGAGGTTGAGGCGCACGTTTTAAACGTGTAAACGTGTACGTGTGACGTTCGGCGCCGCTTTCCCGTAAGCCTAAAAGTTTGACGATGGTGTTTGGAATGTCGAGCGTGATTCCACCGACTATCCAAACACCATTGTCAAACTTTTAGGCTTACGGGAAAGCG